CGATAGCGATACAACGTGCTGTGTGTTATTTTATAAAGTACGTCCAAGGCGGCACCGTATAGGTGTAGAAAGATATGCCCGCGAGTTACAGTCAACCGAAGCATAACTATAGGTAATGAAGGTGTGTCGGGAAACGAACAATAGGATAGGCTGGCTGGTTGTGCACAATTTGATAGTAAATTGATGCATGATAAGTTAGATATTGAGAGCCCTTTGGGAGTGAGGGAACAAAAAAGTACAAAAAGATCTTCCCGGTCTGAAGAGACTAGTACAGCGAGGAGTGACCGGGGAATGTGGTCGACAATCAACATTCAGGTATAGGTGAGGATGATTTACATACTATCAGACTGTATAAACAAATACGGTGACCAATTAAAGGGGGGGGGGGGCGGGAAACCCCTAATTATAATTTTATATGTCGGCGCACTTGCTATACTCCTGTACGTAGTGGGATTATTGCCTGCTCCATTAAGTGCCTTGCCAGCTGGCGTATGGGTTCATGCGTCACCACTGTGTCAATTCTACTGATGATATTCCTCCATGCCACTGTCTTAAGCCATCCACCATCGTATCTCTTGGTCTGCCTCTGCCTCATCTACCAGTGATTTTTTCCGTCGTCATGATATTTTCCAGTCCTCTTTTCTCGTTACATGACCAAAGAACTTTGTTTGTGATGTTTTATAAAGTACGTGCAAATGCATGCTAGCACTAATATTTACATGTTTCGCATTGTCTAAATGAATTATAAAAGTACAGTTTAATATTTTTGGGGATTCAGTTTTCGATCTATTGCCTGCCTGGTAGCAATGGCTGTTGTCACTCCGTGTAAATGTAGAATATCCTCAATGATATCAGTCCATGTTCTACCAGCGCGACCTCCTGCTTTCGTGTCAGATCGTTTCATGTATAACGCCTGTGATGGTAGTTTATAAGGGCAATAAATGTGTGGGACACAGGATCGATGCAAACTGTGCTGTTCTGGCATATTGGAACTTCTCAGTCAACACACACTGCGTTGTACTTGCCTGAAAAAGTCAAGTTATAAAATACCAATCAACACTCATATCTGATGTTACAGTTTAAAGCGTGATGTCCCTGTGTGGGTTTAGGGGCTTCACTGTGAAAAAAAAGGGTGCGGGTACCGGCCCCTTAAAAAGCATGTCGTAAACGTCGACCAATTAGGAAAATTTTCTTTGCAGTTGGATCACACCTGCTTAAAAAAACGAGGAAACTCGATTCAGCATGTCTGGTGTCACGCAGAATCAGCCATTGTTTGTTTACAAATTTTATGTAAGGCCTTCTCCGATTGGTTGAAACTAGACAGAGGCTATTGTAGCCTCTTCAAAATTGGCCAATGAAAATGTATCTTTCATGTAAGTTTTAACATGGATTAGATTATCACAGTTCTATAATTTCTAACAAATGGGTGAAAAAATTATTAAAATAGGTTGATAAATAACTGAGTTATGACAGCTTGAAAATTTTGCATACATAATTAGGTAAATAAACGGTTACCATGCCAATTAAAAAAAAATATTTTAAATTACTTACAGATGGAATTTTACAACAGTAAATGTATTATTATGTGCAGAAATGAATAAACTTCCATGTAGTGTTAAAAAGTAAAATTTCAAAATTTTGAAGAAAAAAGTCAGTTTGGGGGGTTTTACCTATCCTTAAGAGACAAGAAACCAACAGTCCTCGCACTGATATGCTAGATATGTAAAACTGATTAAATGGCAAAACTCAAGTCCTGGAACGAACTTAAAAAGTGGACTTTCTGTACAGTTTACAGCCGAGGAAGACTATTTTTGAGCAAGAAGAGGGAGAAGAGGAAAAAGAGCGTGGATGTGGAAAGCAAGGAAAAAACTGCCATATTATTTGCACATAAAAACACATTATGACAACAGAAAATTAAAGAATAGCAAGACATTTGAAAATACAGGTGAGATATGCGAACTGCCGTTGTAAAGCAGCTAGATCAGAAGATCCCAGGTTCAGGTCCTGAGAGAGAAGGGCTTTTTGAGAAATGATCTCGGCTCCCAGGTGGACCTAGCATTAAACGGATACCAGGTGCAATCCTGGGAAGTAAAGACGTCCAACGTGATGCTGACCACATGACCCCCCCCCCCCCCCCCCCCCAAGTGCCGATTGCTTTATAAAATATAGTTCTTGCCCTAAATCTCCACTATGCCGAAGACGCTAAAATGTGTAATTTACTTTACTTACCGAGGGGGAAATAACTCAAATAGAGTGTTGGATCCATATCTTTGCTCAGTGTTTATTGAAAATATAATATGAATTTAGAATACCCTATATACGATACATAATCATATGCAAATTACCGGTTTACGTAATATTATGTTAATCAGTGGTTCACATAACACATCTGAACACATTTAAGCCAAAACTATGCGAAGTAATACATTTACGGTCTGTTCAGGACTTGGCTTGTCTTGCATTGCTAACATTAAAAAGAAAACATTGTCACATTCAAGCAGCATCCCTGAAGGGGGAGCTTTAGGTTATAATTGTGACCAGATTATGCGCTTAGTATTGCACGTCACCAAGAGCTCTGAAAAGGACTCCTGCAGTGTTGATGCGATCAAAGGAGACAAACCCAAATACTGTCCCGACCGGGGACGAAGTCGTCTACCGGCTAGCTAATAGACGATGATATGATCTGTTCAGGAACTTGTTGACACTTTTATATCCAGTTTGCAGCTTTGTGACCTAGAGGCTAGTGAATAAATGCGGTCGATTTTCGTGTCTTGCTATGCCTAGTTCTCTAAGTTTCTGTCACTGACAGGTTAGTCTAAAGAAAATAGTTTAAAAAAAAAAAGTTGACCATTTTAGTGGCTTTCGGACAGTTTTAAGAGAATGACGCCCTGGATGAGATTGGGGCCTCACCAGATATTACACCCAGAGACACTAGGTGTTACTCCCATGGTACCTTGGGTGATGACAAAGGAGACCTAATCGGCTCCGATAAATACTTTGTGAAAACGGACACACTGAATTATGAGCTAGAGGACCGAGTCAGAAACTGAAAGCGCAGCTTTCAAATCATCTCCACCACCTTCACTACCGCCAGCACCAAAAACATCATTATCATTATCATCATCATCATCATCATCATCATCATCATCATCATCATCATCATCATCATCATCATCATCATCATCATCATCATAACCATCTTCCTATTAATCATGCCCATTGTCACTAAGCTTTGGAGTCCATAGCATCTCACAACATATCCAATCTCTAAATCATGTGTAGCGGAAGGTAATAATAAATTTTTTAAAAAGGGGAGTGGGGGTACGTTTTAATTCTAGAGACTTTTAGTTTATTTCAGTTAATATGTTCTCAAGAACCTAGATCAATCCCAGTGCTTTCTACCACTGTCAGTCAAATTGAAGGATTAAGTAAAGGATTAAGTAAAGGATTCTTTCCCACGCCATCGGGAGTATTTTAACAATAGAGCCAAACCTGTATTTTATAGACTGGGTGGGTGATAAGGTCGGCCACCTTTACTTCGCAGAACTGTACCTGGTACCCATGCAAGATTGGGTCAACCCGAGAACCTGTCATTTGAAAAAAAAAATAGGTCTAGCTCCGTTAGGACCCGAACCCAATACCTTGCGATCCGCAGGCAAGAGTCTAGCCGTCACACCACGGCACTGTCAGTTCTCTCTTCTTCTTCTTTTCTCTGCTCCTGGAATGCCTCACAGCGTCAGGGCAGGAAGAGATATCTAGAACGGGCCCTTCTGTTTGCTTTGTATGAAGTACGTTTCAGTGTCTCTGATATTTATGTGGTCCATTTCCTGCATGGTCGACTCCTGGGTCTGTTACAGCTGTATCTGTATAATATTTCTCTCTCTGCCCTGTCAGATGCAATCTTGTTACATGGTCAAGTCATTTGATTTGGTGTTTACCTATAAAGTTCATTATTAGTTCTGTGCCGACTCTATTCCTGATATGATAGTTCGTAAGTCGATCTTTCCTTGTTACATCTAGCATAGTACGTAACTGTCAGTAACTGTCAGTCTATGCCTACAAATAAGTCAGTTTAAACTGACCACCACTCGCATCCTGAACAATAAACAAACAAGCTGAAATCGAAATGAAGCCCTGAAAGCGGATGTATATAACAGGCTTATTTAATTAAAATTAGAATAATCAGATTGATACAGGGATTTTGGAGATAATGTAAATGAAAAGTAGGCCTTAAAAGAAAAACAAAAGAGATAAGTTAAATATTTATGGCCCATTAAAAGACAGAGGGTAAACTGATAAACACCTTAACTGCAGGTGATAGTGGAAAGAAAGCAAGAGACTGACTGCGATACAAGTAGGAGACAGTTTAACAGATGGATGGGCAATTGCCTAAAAAGGTATACAACTATGGAAAGCCCAAATCTTTCACCCAGTCAGATAGTGGATAAATGAAACAATACTCCTTATATGTGTATCCCATTTTCTAACATATGAGCAGCAGCAGATATAGCATTAGTTAAACATTTTAATTTCATAACAATGGATTTAATAAACGAAATGTCTTTTACAATTGTATTTATTTCCTTTGGAGCTGCCAGCCAAGCCATGAAATATACATACTAAAAAAAAAAAAAAAACCACACACAACAATAACAAAGCACGTAGCTACTTAAAGGAACATAATTTTTTCATATTTAGTGAACATGTTTAACATGCACACAAGAATACTGCAAGGTTCAACCAGTCAATCAGCATTTCTTTCCATATAAGTCATTGATTAGTTTTAGGTGTACGGACTTTTCCATTAACTAATACAAACGTATCATTGTATAAGTGTGCGTTTCTTTTTTCCCTTGTCAACAGAATGTTTCACGTGTATTTCCTGTCTGCAGGTGAATGGAGGTTTAGGACATTGGTTGGTGTCTAAGACGCATTACAGTCATCTTTAGCTGTGGAGCCGATACTGGATAATTGTCTTTCTATAATACGACTGCATTGCTCTATCTATGTTTCAAGTTAACAAGACAGTTTCCCTGTGTGTGCTTGGTAAGCAGAGACATGCGAGAGAATGTTTTACAACATTTACTGCACGCGTATCTTTTGATCTCCGCGTGCGTTTGTAGATGTGCGCGAAGATTTGAACGGTCAGCAAAAGCACGGCCACAGTGACTACACTTAAATGGTTTTTCTCCTGTGTGAGTGCGCAGGTGCCCTTGAAGAAGCCAAGGGCGGGAGAAAGCTTTGCCACACTCCTGGCATTTACAAGGAAGAGTGTGGGTTCGAATGTGCATTTTGAGAGCGCCCATGGAAGAGTAAGCCCGGTTGCAGACTTTGCAAGAGAATTCTTTCTTGACGTGTTGCGAGCAGTGGAATTGACGGTGTTTGGAGAGTCCTCCAAAAGTAGAGTATGTCTTATTGCAGAAGTCGCAGTGATAACGCGGAGGAAGAGCACCACGCAAAGATATTCTGTCCTCAAACTGGCTTGATTTTAAGGAGAGCTCTTCATTCTGACGAAACCATGCCATCCACTTGTCCATGTTTGATGGTGCAATCTCCCGCACTGACGCTGCTGCAGAAGAGTTCAATATATTGGCAAATCCTTGTCTTTGCTGAAGTCTGCTGTTCTGCTGGCCTGTACCACTTTCACCAAACAGGTTGTTGCCCCTAGGAGTGTTACTGATACACCTAGGGAATATTCCGGAAGAGCTGTACAAGGTATTCGTGTTTGCTAGTCTGTTAATGCTGGGTGGTCTTACATTATGGTGAACTACGTTTCTACCAGTCCAGTTTCCATAGGGATCTGCGTAATCCGGAAACTGTGGTACACTGGCCGGTAACTGGGAAATTTGTTTAAAGGCACTGACTTTATCATAAGCTCCTTTTCTGTGTAGCGGGCTCAGTGTGTGGAACGGGGGAAGTATGGGAGCAGACGTAGTCCTGGTAAAAGGCACTGCATTCATTTGCAGATTTTCTGACAGGAAATCAGGTTTATGTAAGTCCTGCGGCCAGGGCCACTTGTTGTTCTTGTTGCTACTGATCTCGACTATGGCATTTTGTAGTACGTTTGTATTATTACCTATATCTGCTTCTTGGCAATTAGTCTTCAAAGTAGATATTTTCGTTTGAGGTACAACATGACAACTGTGTTTCTCTGTCGTATTTCTGGTAATGTTATGAATTTCCTTGCCATGAAAATAATCACACTTTGAACTGTAGGTTGAAGTTGTCGTACATTCCTTTAATTCTCCGGGACCTCTTTTGGTTTCATTTCTAAGAGCAGATGAGGTATCGACGTTTTTATTAACTACTGTCTTTTCTAAAGTAAGGCAAAGTTTGTTTTCAAAATTTTTGTTTTGTGAGTCAACAGTATCTGTCTTCATCAGAATGTCAGATGCATTACTACGTTCAAAATTATCGTCTATGGTATTTTTAGAGTTAACAGTCTCTTGATTGTCCTTGCTTGCTGTACCCTTCTGATGATCAATGTTTTCAGAAGACATATTTAGAATTGATGCAATGCTGTGATTCAGTTTTCTGTAAGTTGAGAACTCTTGGTCAACACGGACGTGCGGTTGGTGTTCATCACGACATAAAATGTTCTCTTCATTGATTGCTTGCATTTTTGAGTGATCAAACTGTTGTGTATTTGCAATCTCTTCTCTGGGATTCCCTGAATTATGGTCGTGTGAATGATCAGGACTGGGAAATCGTTCATGAAATAGAGTTCTTGCTGATGTGTTCAGCTTCACCATGTTGAAGGAAGCTGCCTTTTCTTGCGTAACGTTGCCTCTACTATTTGTTGAAGCTATATTTTCAAGAGATTTCAGTTTATTCATCTGCTTTGAATTGAAAATACTCTGCGGTGTACGATTTCTCCTTGGTAGATGTTTTGATTGCAACGAGTAACACTGATTCCTACTTGATTTATAGCCCACACCATCTTCAAAATGATCGTGACTTCGGACAGCCGATGTTTGCTGACTGCCTGGAAAGTTCACAAAAACAGCCGGAGTGTTGTGATGATTTGGTGAGAGGAAAGAATAGCATGATGCAGTAGGGGTTGTATTGTGAGTAAGCTGCACGTGATCCGTTTGGCAAGGATACGATAACCCATGTGGCCTGTATGCCTGGACGTGCGGTTCTCTCAGCATAGAATAGGATGTCAACTCTGTATGGGATTGTAGGAAATACGAGTTAGTCAGCGTCAGCATGACCTAAACCTGTAGAGGGGGAAATTAAAATGGTTAGACAAATGTGACAATATTTGATAACTCTAAATACGTGTAATTCTTCATTTAGGTGATGAAGGAAAGACAAATAAAACCTTTAGTTATCAAAAACTCCAAGAATTCAGATCTCTGGAGATAATAGGAAAGTAATCAATTTGGCTAACGTAACTCTAAATACGTGTAATTATTCGTTTGAGTGATGTTGGAGCGAAATATTATTATCTTTAGAAATGTAAGTCGTCTCCATGTGGTATACTAGTTTTCGTTATTTAAAGCTCCACCCTGGCTTTCGCCTGGGACCCTGAATATAGCCGGGCCATAGATATGGCCTAACGGCTGAAAGGGATTTCTGGGTCCTCTCCACGGGTGACCATCCGCATGGTGTCACTTTGTGTCACCGGGTGTTTATCGTTTGTGTGATGTCCTGGTGTGGCACAAATAGAAGGAAAGAAAGAAATTCTAATCTTTAGAAGTTGTCAAGAACTTAAGGAACTAAGATTTGCGGAGAAAACTGGAAAGTAATTAAGCAGACGTGACAACATTTGTTACCTTTAATTACGTTTAGTTACTCGTCTGAGTGATATTATCTTTGGAAGTTAAGAAGAACTTGAAGAATTACGATCAGTGGGGAAAACAGGAATCTGTTATATTAATCCAGTGTGTCACAGAGCATGTTAGGAAAGGTGGAGACAGGCATGCTCTGTGCAGAGTGGCACGCATCACTTCAAAGGTCCCAGGTAGTTAGCATCCTTTAGATATTTTTTTCAGGTTTTGCCGTGTGTTGGGAAATGAACAGAAAGATAGACTGGCTGGTTCTGCGCCACTTGGTGGTGAACTGATGTATGACAAGCTGGACGATGTGAGGGCCCTTTGGGAGCAAGTCAACAGTGCCGAGACACATAGATCGCTACGGTCTGAATAGAATGGCACTACGAGGAGTTACAAGGGGATTCTGCCGACGCTCGACACTCAGTGGACAGGCGAGACGGATATACAGTCAGGCAGTTACTGGTATCATCAGAATTTTAATTCTTCCCTTGCTGCTGAAGATGGGGACGGGACGCTTAGGGGGTGTCCCCGGTGCTGTGATGTCGATTCCTAATTCAACATTCAACAACTAGGCCTCAGCATTAACTTCATTGTTCAAGTGATCCTTCTCCAATTCCTAGTATGCGACTGATTCTTCTTTTTGCTGTCCATGCCGTGTGGCGTTGGTAATATTGCCTAACCTACAGTCTTCTCTGTCTCGTGTACTTTCAATCAGTTCTGACACAGATGATTTTCCATAGTCCATGCCGTGTGGCGTTGGTAATATTGCCTAACCTACAATCTTCTCTGTCTCGTGAGCATTGAATCAGTTCCGACAGAGATGATCTTCCATAGTTCATGCTGTGTGGTGTTAGTATTCAATACTACATGTCTCCTGTACTTTCAGTCAGTTCTGACACAAATGATCTCCCATAGTCCATGCCTGTTGAGTTAGTAGTCAAGACTACACCTGTCTCGTGAACTTTCAGTCAGTTCTGACATAGATGCCCTTTCATTGTATATGCTGTGTGGCGTTAGAAGATGATCCTCCATGACGTAATGTCAAACTGTCCAGCATCTTCATTGGCAGTCTGCCTCATTTCCCCTCAAATTTCCCCACCGTCAAGACGTACTCTAGTTCTCCCTTCTCATGACTGGACTGAAGAATGTAGACTGTCTCCATCGGATGTTGGCAATCAGTTTTCTTTGCAATTTTCTTTCAAGACATCCTAAATACTATTTTCATCTGTCCATGGCATTCTTATCATTCGCTTATAAAAGCACATATTCGTTCACTACTCGCCCACCTGTCCGTGATTCACCTTTCTATGTCAGGATAGGATTTAATAGCACTTGAGAACTCGTATTCTAGTCTCAACTGACAAAGAAAGATTGCATAGAGTATTCTTTATTTTCTAAAATGTTACCTTTGCTTGAGCTATTCTACACTTGCCTTCTTTTTAATCTGATGTTATCAGTGTACCACAGTATACAAAACACTTCAGGTTGCTTGAGGCATGTCCCATTATTTTTGATGCTGCATTTTGAGGGTCAATTTGAAAAAAAAAAAAAATTACCCCTACCTCTGTGTTTCTTCTTTTCAAACTTAGGTCCTTGTTTTGACTTCCTGTTATAACTACGCCCACATTTCTTGCATCTGTGTTTCATTTTCAGCTATCAAAACTATATCGTCAGCAAATCGCAAGCTGTTGACAATAAGCTCATCAACCAGTATCGTTGGCCTGTCATTTAGGGATCTACTTAATATTTCACTGCACTGTACAACTGTAGCTCCTTTTTCGAACTAAGCAGTTGGACAAACGAAGAAGAATGTACAAATTGAATAAATAAGGTTATGGTATACACCCTTGTCTGACGCCCTGCTTAATGTTTTGAAACGTTCCAACTTGGTTGTCAAATCTTATGGCTGCTTCGTGTTGCCATTATAAGTGTTTTTGTTTGATGTTTTAAAATTATTTTCTGATCTTTACCATCAGATTTCGAATTCAAATGGAAATGATGAAAGTCCTAATTGAAAAAGGTGTGTCAGACATATTTCATATATGTAGAAACATATATTTTAATGTCACATTTTTACCCCCTATAAACAATAAGTATTATTGTGTTTTCCCCAATATAAGATCTATCCCTTGTAAGATTTTTTTTCTTCAGGTTTATTTTAATGTAAGATCTACCCCAAATGTAATCACTAGTTAAATCATAAGTTAACTGTTTTCCCCAATGTAAGAGTTATCACTAGTACGATTTTTTTAAAGGATGTTCTTAATGTAAGATCTACCCCAAATATAATCACTAGTTCAATCAACAGGCAGAATGCTGGATTTCGTTAGTTCGAACAGACACACGACGGGCATTGTCGATTATTAAATTATGAAAGTATAAATTATGAAAGTATAAATAATGCAGGTTATTGCAGTTTGTCGCATTAATGCAATACATAACTGTAGGTCTGTGAACGAATGTAGAAACACCCCTAATTAGTCTGCTTCTACGACATGCTTGTTAAGGCTGAGCGGGTTTATTCTTTATTCTTCACAACGGAAACCCGGGACCCACACGTAGACGAGACTGTTAGGAACATTGAACGCTCTCATCTGTAATGATCGCATTTAAGGTTAAGTGTGCATCTGCCTGAGAAACTAGAAACTAACAGACTGCAAACAAATAAGCCATATCTATAAAACAGATCTGTACCGCAACCATCAATTTCTGAAACAACGCCAAAGTCCAGAAGTGGACGAACAGCCAGAACATTCCACCAGTGTTTACAAGCGGTGAATGAAAACAACAAAGAAACAATCTTCAATGCACAAATAATAAGATTCACCTGTAAGACTGAATCACACCTCATGCCTTCACAGAAACTGAAATGGTTACTAATCTAAAAGAACAGTCAAAATAAAACTTTACATAAGTCGCCTCAGGTAGCTTGTGGATTACTAACAATTATTGTTCAGTTTCCTACTTAAAGTATTTTTCCTGAAAAAAGATTGAAGATATTATATACATGTTCTAAGCCTAATTATTCCTTTCCCGCTTCGTGCAAACTCACATTCTGACATTTGCGATTTACGTTCACGTTAGGCAGCATCCAATCAAAGCAGGGCGGTCTTGGGAATCTTAAGAAAAAACTCCAATAGTGCTAAAAAGCAGACTCCTCTACAGACAGAAACTCCTCCTACTTGTCGTGTCCTCATGTTCATCTCATACGATGGTTCACCTACCCGAATGTGAACTTTCAGTCCTCGACCTCTGCCTCCATGTACGCTATACACGCGCTGCGACAGAAGCAGAACAGGTGTAGAAATGAATATATGGAATGGCGCTGCATTCCGAGAGTGTTGCAGGCAAGAGATGTGTTTTCATCTCCGAGTCTCGGTCAATTCTCTCATGTAATTACCCGCACTAAGCGTCGTCGTCTCACGGCTCGGTCCATTAACGTAAACTTAAAATGTGAGCTATTCTCCTCAACCCCGCTCCATTTGAGTGGGTATTGGGGGTGAGGGGGGGGGGTCGATACTAAAGAAGACGAGACGGATGGGTAAATTAGAAGAAAATGGTCTTGCTGAAACATGCAAGCCATCAGTAAAATAAAACATTGA